GAAGGGAACTGGAACATCAGGAATGAAGAAAGTACAACAGAAATGGTAAATATATATGTGTAAATACAATAGACTGTTCTGAGTTATTTAAAATATCTTCAAAGGTTAAAAGCAAAACTGTTGTCTTCAACTTACTGAACAGAACAGGATTTGAGCATAGTCTGGCTTCAGAGACCATGTTCTTTATTACTATAGTATATTGAAATTAGATAAAATAATAAGTAAAACTTTTGTTGAAGTCTTAAACCAAACATTTTCACCTGTTCTTGGCTGCCTCCTCCTATTCCTTCTTTCCTATCCCTCCTTCATCATCATCATAGGTTGCAATTCTTGAGCACTTAGCCAGGTACTACGACTGTTACTTCATTTAATTCTCAAGATGCAGCTATGAGCTGGGTTCCAAAATTATTCCCATTTTTTTTGTGTGTGGGGAAACTGAGGCATGTGCAGTTAATTAACTTTGCCAAGATCACCTAGTTAGTTAGTGCCAGAGCATGAATTCTTTGGAATGATCTGATTTTTTTCTCTGGTTTTATTCACAACAGGTGTTTATTCAAAACTCATTCTTAAATGTTGATATAGGTGAAATCACAAAGTAAGAAATGGAAAATTTGCCAGCAACCGCAAATGGGTGACTGATACCTCTTGCTGGTTGGTTAGGAAATTCAGCCCATGTAATAAAACAGGTTGTACTCATCTCATATGATTCTTTTGATACGTCTCAGCAGATTATCAAAAACAACTTTACAAATGTGTTTCCCTTTTTTTTTTTTTTTGAGATTTTATTTATTTATTCATGAGGGACACAGAAAGAGAGGCAGAGACACAGGCAGAGGGAAGAGAAGCAGGCTCCATGCAAGGAACCTGATACTAGATTCGATCCTGGGAACCCGGGATCCGGCCCTGAGCCAAAGTCAGGCGCTGTTGACCCACCCAGGTATCCCTCAAATGTGTTTTCCTAATGCAAATATATTTTTATGTCAAAAGGAAAAAATATTGCTAGGTATTTTTTTCTTTTATTTTTGTAGACACACCTCTTAACATCTCAGAACACTAAGATTTCTTAGAATATGTTGTGGTGGTTGAAAACATGTTCATCAGGTCAGCATCTTTCCTTGAATCTTCCCCCCACAGTCCCAGAGCTCTTTAATTTTTCCATGTAGAAAAGTGATCTAGCTCCTAACATAGATAAACACAGTTGACCTTTGAACACCATGGGGCTTGGGGGCTTTGATCCTCGCATAGTTGGAAATCTGCATAGAACTTTGTTTCCCCCAAACATAACTACTAATTACCTACTGTTAACTAGAAGCCTTACTGATAATAAAAACAGTTGATCAATAGATATTTTGTATGTTATGTGTATCATACATTATATTACAATAAAGTGAGCTAGGGAAGAATTGTTAAAGTCATATGGAAGGGAAAATACACTACTGTACTTACTGAAAAAAATTCACATGTAAGTGGACTTGTGAAGTTCAAACCTGTGTTGTCCAGGAGTCAACTGCAATTTAGTACTTGATAGTCTGTTGTAAATGCAGTCAACATTTTTCATGAGAATATCTTCTCACCACCATAAAATTGTAAATGTTTGAAGAGCAGAGAGTGTCTTTCATGTTTTTTCTTTTTACTAATATGTATAATATAACTAGACAGAAAGGTTGTCTAGTAGCTAACTATATGACCTAGATGATTTAGACCTTGGTATAATTACTTATGCACAGAGTTTGTTTTTCCCCCCATCATGTGAACAGCATAGCCCTTTACCCCTAGAGCCAGCTAAGAAATGGCATGAACATTGAGCAAGATTATTTTTGTGTCATTTTAGGATTCGGTGACTTTCACAGATGTGGCCATAGACTTCTCCCAAGATGAATGGGAATGGTTGAATTTTGCTCAAAGAATTTTGTACAAGAGAGTGATGTTAGAGAACTACAGGAACCTGGTTTCATTGGGTAAGGGTATCTTCCTCCTTCCACCTCCCCATTGGAGTCTTTCCACCTCAGTAGTCTTTCATGTCTCTATCAGCATTTTCCTACAATATCCCTTTTCTCTCAATACCGTTTGGATTGGGTCATAGCTCAGCAATATCCATAACATAGCCAATTTTCTTTCTTTCTTTTTTTTTTTTAAGATTTTTATTTATTTACTCATTAGAGACAGAGAGGTGCAGAGACATAGGCAGAGGGAGAAGCAGGCTCCCTGCAGGGAGCTCAATGCGGGACTCAATTCCAGGACCCTGGGATCATGTCCAGGGCTGAAGGCAGATGCTCAACTGCTGAGCCACCCAGGTGTCCCTCTTATCTTTTCTTATATGCAGGTCTCTGCATTTCTAAACCAGACATAATCTCCTTATTGGAGCAAGGTAAAGAGCCTTGGATGATGAAGGGAGAGATGACAAGAGATCTCTACCCAGGTAAGTGCAAATAACTATAGAGTTGGGGTACTATTCTCAAGATGTTTCTTTAAAAAAAAAAAGTTTCTGATACTTCTTGGAAAACACCTCTCAAAATCCCTCTCAAATTGAACTTTTTTTTCTAACACCATATTTAAATGGATCTTCTCCACTATGTGGCATACCATTTTTACCTTTACTGATTTCCTGCAAATACCACAACCTGTGAACTCATATATTCTATGATGCTTACATAGTTCTTAATAATCTCTGATGGTCAGCATTTCAGAATTCTTTAGACAAATTTATGTTTAGTTTTTTGAACTAGTTTAAATATTTTATTTAAAATATAAGCTTATCAGGTTTACAATTGTTATAGCTATGCTCTTCCTTTTGTTTTTAATTATTTTTGTCTTTGATGATGTTTCTGTTTTGCTATTTATTTTTGCTTTATGTCTTTTCCCCCCCTTCATGCCATCCCACTCCTTGAATTGAAAGTCCTACAATTTGTTACCCATATATATATATATATATATATATATATATATTTTTTTTTTTTTTTTAAGATTTTATTTATTCATGAGAGACACGGGCAGAGGGAGAAGTAGGCTCCACGCAGGGAACCCAATGTGGGACTCGATCCTGGGTCTCCAGGATCACGCCCTGGGCCAAAGGCAGACACTCAACCACTGAACCACCCAGGCGTCCCCCTTATATTTTTAAACCTGTGTTTTAAAATCCATTCACTTGAGATTCAAAGCATCATCATTTGACACTTATATAAAAGAATAAATTAGGTAACAAGTATTACCTACTTTTTCTTTGTCCATCATCACCCCACTTTTGTTGTACTCACTGGGATTTTTGGCCCAGTTTATTTTTTAAAATTTATTTTTTCCCTGCCTTGCTTGAAAGCTGTATTTCTGGTATGAAAGCTAGATAAGAGTTTATTGATTATATATTACAGTGGAATCCACCTCATGTGGGATGTTTACAATTTATTCTGTAGCTTGTAGTATGGCTTTTTCATGCTTCCAGTTCTCATAGGTTCAAGAAGATGATGTTGGTAGGATACCTATAGGTACACTTATAATGTACACTTAATGGTGTACATTAGTAAATAAGAAATAAAAAATAAATAAGCATGCAATTCAAGATAGTAGAAAAAGAACAAAATGAGTCTAAGGAACACTTAAAATAAGTTATGAATAGTGACTTACACTGCCGGGAATACAAGTAGGAATAAATGAACTAGAAAATAGTTTATTTAATGAAGATAAATCAAATTGGTGCTTTAGAAAACCAATAAAGCATATAAACTATCAAATACATAAACAAATGAGAGAAAATAAGAAAAATAACAGTAAGTAACCATTGATGTGTAAGTACTTAAAAGAATAATGTATAAAAAAAGAATCATGTGAACCTATTTTCCTCAATTTTCTGTAAGTAATTGGAAAACCTGGATGAGATGGACAGTATTTTAGGAGAATATAAATTACCACCACTGACACCAGAAGAGAGAGAAAATTTCAACAGACTGATTACCATTGAAGAAATGTAGAAAGGGGATCCCTGGATGGCTCAGCAGTTTGGCACCTGCCTTCAGCCCAGGGCATGATCCTGGAGCCCCGGGGATCGAGTCCTGTGTTGGGCTCCCTGCATGGAGCCTGCTTCTCCCTCTTCCTGTGTCTCTGCCTCTCTCTCTGTGTGTCTCTAATGGATAAATAAATAAAATCTTAAAAAAAAAAATGTAGGAAGTTATTTCAAAACTGCCTCCCCAAGAACAGAAGCAACACCTCCAATAATTTCACAAATAAATTCTGTAAAACCTGTAAGGAAAAATATCAACATTGTTTAAAATTTTCTACAACAGAGAATAAAAAAGAGAACTTTAAAAAATTATGTTTATGAAGACAGCATTTGATGCCCAAATCTCACCAAAATAGCATCAAAAAAGGAAAATACAGACAAATCTCAATTATGAACATTGGTATATAATTTTTAATAAAAAGTCATATTGAAATCATATACCAGAGTCTGGGAGGGTTTATTTCAGAACTGCAAGGATGGTTGCATTGCCTAACTTTATATAAGAATTGTCAAAGACCTCTGTGGTCTTCAGTAACTATTTGAGTCACATGGTTTCATTTTGGAAGTTTCCATTCTTCTAACATTAAGTAAAGGAGACATTTGCTTTCTCAATATTTTTCAGACTTGAAGTATGTTTGGATGACCAGGGAATTACCTCCAAACCAGGACATTTATGAAGAAAAATTATCCCAGGCAATGATAATGGAAAGACTTCCAAGCTACAACCTTAAATGTTCCACATTAGGGGTAAGCTGGAAATGTGAAGCCCTATTTAAGTGGGAGCTGGTAAGTCAGAAGACACACTTTAGTCAAGAGACAGTCACTCATATAGATAACCTTATTGAGAAAAGAGACTGCTTTAACAAGTCTGGGACAGTTTTTCATCTGAATAGATTATCTTATCTAAAGCAGGTATTTCCCATTGAAGAGAGAATATATAGTTTTGACACAGATCAGAAAAGTTTAAAAACACATTCATTTGTAAAAAAACACAAGCAAGTCTATGGAGAAAAGAAACTTTTGAAATGTAATGACTGTGAGAAAACTTTCAGCAAAATATCAACCCTTACTCTTCATCAAAGAATTCATACCGGAGAGAAACCCTATGAATGTATTGAATGTGGGAAAGCCTTTAGCCAGAGTGCCCACCTTGCTCAACATCAGAGAATACACACAGGAGAAAAACCTTTTGAGTGTACTGAATGTGGGAAAGCCTTCAGTCAAAATGCTCACCTTATTCAACATCAGAGAGTTCATACTGGAGAAAAACCTTATCAATGTAAGCAGTGTAATAAAGCCTTCAACCAGCTTGCACATCTCGCTCAACATCAGAGAGTCCATACTGGAGAGAAACCCTATGAATGTATTGAATGTGGGAAGGCTTTTAGTGATTGTTCATCCCTAGCTCATCATCGAAGGATTCACACTGGGAAAAGACCATATGAATGTATTGACTGTGGGAAAGCTTTCAGGCAGAATGCTTCTCTTATACGTCATCGGAGGTATTATCACACTGGAGAGAAACCATTTGATTGTATTGATTGTGGGAAGGCTTTCACTGATCACATAGGACTTATTCAGCATAAGAGAATTCATACTGGAGAGAGACCTTACAAATGTAATGTGTGTGGGAAGGCTTTTAGCCATGGCTCGTCCTTGACTGTACATCAAAGAATTCATACAGGAGAGAAACCTTATGAGTGTAATATATGTGAGAAAGCCTTTAGCCATCGTGGTTCACTTACCCTTCATCAAAGAGTTCATACTGGTGAGAAACCTTATGAATGTAAGGAATGTGGGAAAGCTTTTCGGCAGAGCACACACCTTGCTCATCATCAGAGAATTCATACTGGAGAGAAACCTTATGAATGTAAGGAATGCAGCAAAACTTTCAGCCAGAATGCGCACCTTGCACAACATCAGAAAATACACACTGGAGAGAAACCTTATGAATGTAAGGAATGTGGTAAGGCTTTCAGTCAAATTGCACACCTTGTTCAACACCAGAGAGTTCATACTGGTGAGAAGCCTTATGAGTGTATTGAATGTGGGAAGGCCTTTAGTGATGGCTCCTATCTTGTTCAACATCAGAGACTCCACACTGGCAAAAGACCATATGTATGTCTTGAATGTGGAAAGGCCTTCAGACAGAGGGCATCCCTGATTTGTCACCAGAGGTGTCATACAGGTGAGAAACCTTACGAATGTAATGTTTGTGAGAAAGCCTTTAGCCATCGTAAATCCCTTACTCTACATCAAAGAATTCATACAGGAGAGAAACCTTACGAGTGTAAGGAATGTAGCAAAGCCTTCAGCCAGATTGCCCATCTTACACTTCATAAAAGAATTCATACTGGAGAAAGGCCCTATGAATGTAAAGAATGTGGGAAAGCCTTCAGGCAAAGTGTACATCTTGCTCATCATCAGCGAATTCATACTGGGGAGTCCTCAATTATTCCCTCTTCCCCATCCCCATACCACCAAGTCCCCTAGATTCAATCTTCTAAATGCCTTTAGGATCCATCCAATTTTTTCCATCATCATAGTACAATATAGAGTCACCTCATTTTGATTTTTATAGTATTATAACCATTTTCCCTCCTCTCAAGTGCATTTTTAACACTGTGGCAGCTTAATCTTTTAAAAATAAAAATCCATACTTATGTTGCTTTCCCATTTAAAACATTTGTCTTTAAGAGTATGTTAGTCCATTTAAAAGGCTTAGCACACCATTCTTGACATACAATTAGTTAGTGCCATTAAGGTAAAGGGTTCCTTGCTGTCATGTTCAGCTGCAAGTAAATCTGTTCATCTGCAGTAGGTCAAGACTAAGAAACCTAAAGATTTTAGAGCAGACAGAGGACTCTTTACTTTCCCAGGAGGTAGAAAACTGAACACATTCAGAATTGGAAGATTCTGTGATGAACAAGGGTAATGTGGTGGCTCACCACTCCCTCTATATGAATAAACACAAGGACTGATAGTATTGCTGATGAGAAACTCTCACTTTGCCTGGCACTTAGAAGTGAGAATAGGCCAGTTAGAACAAAGGCATTTGATAGAATGTAGGACTAGCCAGATATTTAAAACGAACTAAAGTCTCAGTAAGCTACGAAAACTTGAGTAGATTAATAGCTATGAAATAAGCTGAAGAAAATAGTTTAACACTTTTTTGTTTGTTTGTTTGTTTTTGGTTTAACACTTTGACCTCTAGAAAAGCACAGACAATTCCTGTGGTGTTTGAATTGTTCTAGAGCATAAAATAATGTAAAGCTGCCCATCTTAATCTATGAGATTGACAAGACTGGTACCAAAACAAAAATGCTGCAATTAGCTTATAAATGTAGATGTTAAAACTTGAACTTTTTAAATATTAAAAGGTAGAGTAAATGGAGAGCTAGACACATCTTTGTATAGAAGGAGTCTGGCAAAGATATTTCTGTGTTAAATATGTAAATTAATTGATAATCCAGTAAAACTCCCAATATATTTTTAAGTTGATATGCTGATTCTGATCATGTATAAAATTATGGTATGAGAAGGAATATAGTACTCACTTAACATTAACTGAGCATTAGCTAATGTGCCAGGTCCTGTTTTAGGTGCTGGGGATACAGCAGAGGGCAAAATATGCAAGTTTTTGCCCTTACAGACCGAGTGGGAGAAGACAAAGTTGAAGTACATACCATGTGATAAGTATGTAATATGTACCATGATGAGAAATCACTGAAAGCTAGGGAGTAATGGTGGAAGTAGTGCCTTAGTATTCGCAGGACATGTGGGCATTAGAGGCAGGTAACTCAGACACAACCGGCATAATGAGAATAGTCATTTTGGTCCAAAGGTAGATAATTATGCTTTCAGTATTGCAGGAGGAGAGAATTGATGGTTTAAGAAAGATCATGAGAGTTCTCTTTACTCTTTACTAATAGTGATTTCAGGACTGGTGGAGGTTGTTCTTTTTGTTTGTTTGTTTTGTCTGTTTCTGTTTTTTTTTTTTTTTTTTTTGTAACAGCTTTATTGAGATACAATTCACATATCATCCAATTCACCCATTTAGAGTATACAATTCAATGACTTACTATTTTCAGTTATGCCATCATTACCACATTTCATTACCTAAAAAAGAATACCTCCACCCCTGGAGGAGTACCCTTACTTGGACCACACTGTGCTTTTGGATTCCCTCTTGACTGTCCTATGGCAGCATAGAAGGCCATGTGAAGGGAGCTTGTGGCTCCAGAGGGCATGAGTATGAAAGTGGAGCTTTGGTGTTCTCTTTACTTTGGGATAGAGACTAGGGGATGGGTGGTCTTATTAGACTCCCACTATGTATGATAAAAATAATTTTTCATTGCAGTGGGGGGAAGATGGATTAATCAAATGGTGGGGGGACACTTTGCTCTCTGGAAAGACCTATATTTATACCTTGTACACTAATGAAGCTCTAAAGATAAAAAATCTAAGTACAAGAAAATATTTCTATAACTTTAAGGTAGACCTTCTTAGGTATTTACTACACATAACCCAAGAGCTGACATTAAGATAACATTTATGTGTGGAAAATATCAGTCATGCAAATAATTAAGTCAGGGCATCCCTGGGTGGCTCAGTGGTTTAGCACCTGCATTTGGCCCAGGGTGTGATCCTGGAGTCCCAGGATCGAGTCTCATGTCGAGCTCCTTGCATAGAGCCTGCTTCTCTCCCTCTCCCTGTGTCTCTGCCTCTCTCTCTCTCTCTCTGTGTGTGTGTCTCCCATGAATAAATAAATAAAATCTTTTTAAAAACCAAAGCAAATAAAGTCATACAAATATGAGATTGAAAGAAAATATTTGCAAACAAATATAACAAAGGATAATAGTCCCTGATAGTCAAAGCATTATTACAAATCAATAATAGTAACATCTGCAATTCAGTAGAAAAATGGCCTAAGTGGGCAGCTCTGGTGGCTCAGCGGTTTGGTGCCGCCTTCGGCCCAGGGTGTGATCCTGGAGGCCCAGGGTCGAGTCCCATGTCGGGTTTCCTGCATGGAGCCTGCTTCTCCCTCTGCCTGTGTCTCTGCCTCTCTCTGTGTGTCTCTCATGAATAAACAAAATCTTTAAAAAAAAAAGAAAAATGGACAAAGCTAGTGGCCAGTTCAAAGAGGGAAAAATAGCTAAGTATAACAGTGATGAAGGAAATGAAATGCAAAATAAAGTGTTGTTATATCTCTACTTTTTTCCCCCAATAGGTTGGTTTTATTTTTTTTTAATTTTTATTTATTTATGATAGTCACACAAGAGAGAGAGAGATAGAGGCAGAGACACAGGCAGAGGGAGAAGCAGGCTCCATGCACCGGGAGCCCGACATGGGATTCGATCCCGGGTCTCCAGGATCACGCCCTGGGCCAAAGGCAGGTGCTAAACCGCTGCGCCACCCAGGGATCCCAATAGGTTGGTTTTAAATCATAGAAAAGTGTGATTATATCTAGTGACTGTCAAAAACAAGACAATTCCATTGTCAGTTATATAAATTTATGTGTGTATATGCCATTGGAATCATTCCTCAGAAACCAAAGTGTACAAAGGTAGGTAAATGTATAATGACAAAAATAATTTTTAATGGTGAACTCTATTAGAAACTATTAGAGTACTGGGTAAATGGGTAAGTCAATTATGGTATAGGCATTCAATAGAATTACATGCAGCTGTTGAAAAAAGAACTATAAATGTGAATAATAGCCATAGAAGTATAGTTATACTAAATGAAAAAAATTTTCAGACCTGTGTTCTAGTATAAACCTCATAATTGTAATATCAAAAATAAAACTTAAAATATGTATTTTTGTTTTTGTCTGCCCAGTTTTCCATGCTTCCTTCTTTTGACACTACCATCTCTTCTTTTCCTTTGAGCAACTGACCAAACTGTATCATATGGCTTCGATGGTCTTGGCTAATCAAATTCTCTCTGGAGTTTGAAAGGTAGTTGGTCTGTGTCATCCAATAGCAGCTCTCTAAAAGGATGATGCTGGTGTTCTTATGGCTGAGATCTTTGGGGGTCATTCTAGTTTTTGTGCTTTCTAAGCCTATAATTCCTCAAACTACCTACTATTCTTCCACTACTTCGTTTTTTACCTACATTGCTCATCTGCTTGCAATTAAAGAAGCTTAACCAATATGGAATTTGGTATGAAGATTAGGTGACAGGCCATAGAATCTTTGGAAAATTGAAAGTGTCAGGGATCTGTTTTTAGGTGAGATGGGACAAGTAAAACTCCCATTTCTTTTCTAGCCTAAGAAAGTGAGAGCTTGCGGTGTGCACTGGGTAAATATCCAAGTGAATTATTATTTGTAGTTACCTAAGATGAATAGAAGTCAGGGAACCTGGATAATGGCAGTTTAGACCTGGATAATGGCAGTTTAAACAGAAAGAGGAATTCTAAGTCCAAAAATGTGTATGATGCTGGTATCTAATTGTTTTGTGTAGTTTAAAACTCAGATCTGGAACTTCTGGCATCAAGGCAAAAAATTTCAACTAGGGGTCTTTGTATTATTTTTTTGGGGGGGGTCTTTGTATTATATTGTTGAAAGATGTTGTATTTGAAGTCAGGGTTAAGATTACTCAACGAAATTAAGAGACTCCTTTTATGGTTTGCTAAAGTGGGATGCTGTTAAATTCCATATTTTATTGTAGAGTGGTTGTTATGGAATGAATTGTATCTCCCCCCCTCCCCGCCCCAAATTCATTTGTTGAAGCCCTTTAAAGGAGGGCTTCAAATTAAGGAGCCCTTTAAATTAAGAGTAGATGATGTGACGAGGGCCTCTAATCTGATAGGACTAGTATCCTTATAAGAAGAGGAAGAGACACCAGAGCTACTAAAGAGAAGTTATGGCAACAACTGAGAGATGCTTCTGACAGTTTACCCCGAATGGACTGATCTTGACCTTTACAGGAAGTTGGTCTGAAGGTAACACTGGGGCCATGTGATAAATTGAAGGAATCAACATTTCTAGATTGTAGTATGGAAAACTCCGATGCTTAACTCCAGTTGTGGCCTTCACACGAAGTGTGTTTCTTGTATCCGAGGAGCCTGCAACTCCCAAGTACATGTACCTCATGGGCATTCTGGAAACTCCTCATAAGGGCAATATGTGGTTATCTCTGGGCTGCTGTTCTTGAGTCTAGGCATTATTAATATGGTTTTCAAAAGAGGATAGTCTGATTTAGAAACAATCCAGAGTCGCTCAGATTGGGACTGACAACCTCAAGGATTTCTTTCCACCCAATATTCCTGAGATTTTATTTAATATTATTGGAATTTTAAAATACAGTGTTTTCAGAGGAAGTAATGAACTTTAACCAAATTACAAATAATTTTAAAGGAAAAATGATCAAAGGAGAGAAAATGTGCCTCAGCAAATTAAGTAGACATAAGTGGCTTAAAATGAATGAAAAATCAAAATAATTTAGAAAGCACACATTGTTTTGAAAACATGAAACATAAAAGTTTTTCTTGGGGTCTATAAAGTCAGTCAATTATGTAAACTTCTCAGTTGAAAATTTATTATTTAAAAATCTCAGTATTTTCTTCTTTGAGAAACAAAATTTTAGGTAGCCTAAAAATGTTGCTTCGATAAGTAGAACAAGAACAGGGTCTTGAGAAAACGAGTCTAAAGATGAAATGACCTTTTAAAGTAGATGAAGTAATCTTTTAAGATGTATAAATATTGGGGTGCCTCAGTGGCTCAGTGGTTGAGCATCTGCCTTTGGCCCAGGTCTTGATCCTGGAGATCTAGGATAGAGTCCTGCATTGGGCTCCTTGCATGGAGCCTGCTTCTCCCTCTGCCTGTGTCTCTGCGTCTCTCTCTCTCCCCCTCTCTCTGTCTCTCTCTCTCTGTCTCTCATGAGTAAATAAAATCTTAAAAAAAAAAAAAGCATGAATATTTTGTAAATGGCTACATACACAAAAAGTTGCCATTCTAAACTTCCAGAAAATGACAAGGGAAAAAAATAATCTAATTTTAAAAAGAAGAAAAGACTGCGTATAAACATTAGGTACCTCTTAGACTCTCCTGTGTTCCTGGTTCTGAGGGTGGGAGGGACAGCTTAGCCTGGCCACCAGATCTCACTAGAGGATTTCTGCCTCTGGTAAGTCACACAGTTCTTAAGTGAGAGACTACAGTTGCTGAATTCAGGAACATAGACCCCAGCTCTAGGATTTGAAAGGTTCTGGAAAGAGTCCTAGAAGGGGTAGGCTTGGGGCCATAGGTAATTAGGAAGCTAACCCTCTGACCAGGGTGAGGCCCTGGGGCCAGAGCTTCCCCTGTTCCACAGGGACAGTGCTACAGACTGAATGTGTCTCTCCCAAATTCTTAGTTGAAACCCTAAGGTGATGGTATTAGGAGGTGGGGTCTTTGGAAAGTGGCTAGGTCATGACGGCAGAGAGTCCTCATGAATGGGATGCCAGGTCAGCTCATGGAGTGGAAGGGACCACACACTATCCCTTGTATCCTCAAAACCAA